GCATAAACGATCTAGTGGCACAATGGCAAAGTGTGTCATCATGTCTCCACTACTCTCCACTGAATGCTTAATTAAAGTCAGTCGGGAAAAAATAAAAAGGGGGCATATTTCCGAAAGAAATGGTTAACTTATTAGAAGTTCGGGTGAAATATTGAATTGACTTGGAGATGATGTAGATACACCAATCAGAACGTAAGCGCTACGGGTACGCGTGCATTCATGCGTGCCACCACATTAGCAGGAAAGGGAAAAAATGGAAACCATAAACTTTGAAAAACTGGGAAAAGCATAGAACTGGAAAACTCGAAAACATGTCCGATGGGTAGTTCACAGCATCACGACAATGGAGTATCCCGACGAAAGAGAACACATCACATATTCAAGATCATATTACTGTGGCCCAACTTCTGGATATGTTTTTGAATGAGCAAGATAACCCATAAAATACCTATCCCCTACACATCGAAAACAACATCCACAACGAGACTCACTTCAATCTCCTACTACACCTACTCGTCCACTATCTACTAAGAAGCCAAAAGTTCCACCAGGTGTCTACAAGAAAATATTGGGAAAAGGGATATGTCTCCGTTATTACCAAAATGACACATGTCGTTTCGGAGATTCTTGCTACTATAAACATTTAAAGCATGATGATGAGCTCCTGCAGAACATTATTACTGATTCTACTACGCCACAACCAGATGACAAAACAAAGAGCACTGCCCAGCGTTGTGTGACGACAACTAATCATGTCGTTCTAGCACGTGGCGTTGGCCTTACTCCGAATCAAGAAAGTAGCAATGAACGACTTCGACTCTTTTGTCCGGCATTCACACAATGGACTATTATTCCGGATACTGGTTGATACTCTCATCAGCAAGGAGCTTGCCAACACACTCCTCAAGATTCCACCTGATATGATTATCACTAGTCATTATGCCTCCTCTCAAACTGTATGCGAAGGAAATGAATTATCATCACATCATAAATTGTCTGCTTAACCAAGTATATGTGATATTGAAGGATGTGAATACTACTTGGACATAAATCCATTCATCATCCCGACTATTACTGAAGCAGACATGCTTATTGGTATGGATCTCATAGCTATGATTGGTTTCACACTCAACCTAATAGGTTTCGCCGACGACTTACAGCATCCTATCACTTCTTCACTTGCGATGACTCACACAACCAGTATATCCAAGCTACTACTAAAACTATTGATATTAATTCTACTGGTGAGCTTGGTGGGCCTATCAACTAGCCTGAAGTATCATCAGGTAATGTGGTTATTGACACCGTTCTAACCTCACCTAAGCTGGAAATTACTGTTCGTAAAGATAATGATGGCAACGACGACTTCCCTAAATGGTTTCACATCGATCTCAGCAATCAAGCAGCATCATGGGCATTCGACCAGCAATTTCAACGCGTGCCTGAGTACCACTGGCGAATGAAGATGACGACGACTGAAGGCCTAAAGCAAGTTCAACAAAAGCTTGAGGGCTTCATCAACATCGATATGATGGAAGCTGTGAATAACGATTACCGCCTCATCTTTACTAGTAATATTTATGCTGTAAAGGGGCGGAAACGTTGGCGAAGTGTGGCACCATATTTACATGCTAATACCATGTTACGGAGCTTCATGTCTGCCTATAAGACTGCTAATCCCCAAACTAAAATCTCACAGTGTCTCAATCGCCTACGATTGTCAGCATCTTGCAAGTTATTAGGTATACAAGATGCTTTCATGCGTATCCATATCGGTCCAAATCTTGCTCCTATGATTATGATTATGTATGAGAGTCGAACTTACAGATTTAAGCGGATGCTATATGGCCAAGCTCTGGCATCACTTACACTGGAGTTGATAATGAAGTACCTGGCCAGTAAATCCGAGAAATCGTCCGACCCTATACTTAGTACGCCAATTATTCACTCAAGCGGTGAGTATCGCATTCCACTATTAACACACTATATGGATGATATTTCTATTTTCAACAGTAATTCTGATTTCGACAAGCTACTCCACAACTACTCCTTACCTACTACTGAAGAGCCATTTCCAGAAAATGATTTCATTCATACTCTTGGTATCATTAGTAATCAAAATTTCATCAAATATAATGATGTTAAATACTGTCCAGTCCATAACATTGATTCAACATATCTCAATTTTTATTCTGCACTAAGTTTACTTGCTATCATGGTGAGTTATCGAATGTTTCACCACTGCATATACTACCTATAAAACATCGACTTCTCAGCCTTGTTGGTTCGTCTAGACATGTTCTAGAAACTAAGTGGTCTGAAGCTTCACCTGACGATATTGCTGTGCTCATCAGAAGCTGGCAAGACTATGTGAAGCAGACTGCTTTACCGGTTATACCCAGACGACTTTACCCTCAACAACGACTTGATATATTCTGTGATCCAGGCAATCAACTAGTTTATTTCATCGCTTTGCAAAACGCCGAAGTCGTCTTACAACAGCAAACTTCATTGACTCCAACCGAGTCGAATCTACATGCTGATATCCTTGAAATTTATTCTGCATTTTGGGCTCTGAACATACTAGTGAAATTGAAACCGATTCCACTATGAGCTTTTCAGACGTTCATTTCTACTTTTATTGCTATACCAGTTCTTGGAGCTGGTCGAGTCTCGTCTCGAACTAAACAAGATGGCCTTCAGAAGAAGTATCTAGCTCTCTTCGATCATCTTCGTGGTGACCGACGTCTTCATTTTCACTATGTTTATGATGAACATATGAAAGCGGATGCTGGAGCACGATCGGAGCTTCTATCACGAGTGAACGCTGTATGGAACAAGTATCATGAAGCATACACGATTGTAGTAATGGTCGCAGCTCCTTCCCCGTTAATTGACGACTGAGTACTAGACATAGGGTTGAAGTAGAAGTAGTAGTTAGTAGAAGATTAGTGAGTTAAGGTTGAGAGAAGTTAAAGAGACAGAGCGACACAATAGCGGGAATCGATCGTCCAATCCCTTCATGAGGGATTTCCTCATAAGGGGACAGCGATTGTGTTACTATCCACGTATCAACGTGGAGTGTCGGAGGAGATGGGACAGTTGTGTTACCGAGCGGGAGTTTCGCTACACGATGAGCTCGAGCAAACTTGCTCAACCTATACGTAAACGGCAAGACAGCAATGCTCCTGACAAGCAGTCTAAGAAACAGCGTATTACTATATTCCGACGCACTTCTAGAAGCACAAGTCTACCACCTAAAAGGCCTACGACTCCTGCAGCAGTCACCACTACTTCTGCTTCTAGTCCCCTACGCAATCGAAGTTGACCCACATATGTCATCATCACCCTCTATATTAGTCGACACATTAACACTGGTACCATTACAATTTCAACGAGCTCTGACGCAGTATAATAAATATGATCAAGGTCGTCGACAAGTCACTGATGTCACGGTCCAACATCAATTCTTACAACTAGCTCGTCAATGTCACCACGAGGGACACGAGCCAACCACATTCCGTATTGATCAAATAGCGACGTGACCTTCTATCAAGCACAATAGCAAAGCCTTTATTAATGAATGTGAGATATGTGCTCGTACCCAGGTCAAACGCGGTGATCATTTCTTCAAGATCAAACCACTATGGAGACCGTTGCCTGAGTGGCCGTTCATGAAGGTTCAACTTGACGACCTAGGGCCGAGATACGAAAAGTGCCACGCCCTACTACTTATCGATACCCTCTCCGGTTATGCCTTATCTATCTCATTGGATCATACTCCCAACTTCAATGATGTGTTTAAGATCCTGCGAGAAACTCACCATATCCGCGGTATCTTCTCTTCATTGATCAAGAGTGACCGAGCTTCATATTTCGTCAGAGTTCACTCCGACCTGTCTCATTCACTTCATGTACCATTGTGGAGTGGTCTATTGGATCTCGAAGTGTTGGTATGATCGAGCGCACGATTAAGGAGTTTAACAAGAAGATCCGCCGTTACTTAGTTCATCTAAGTTGTAGTAATGGTTGCAGCTCCTTCCCCGTAAATTGACGACTGAGTACTAGACATAGGGTTGAGGTGGAAGTAGTAGTTAGTAGAAGATTAGTGAGTTAAGGTTGAGAGAAGTTAAAGAGACAGAGCGACACAATAGCGGAAATCGATCGTCCAATCCCTTCATGAGAGATTTCCTCATAAGGGGACAGCGATTGTGTTACTATCCACGTATCAACGTGGGGTGTCGGAGGAGATGGGACAGTTGTGTTACCGAGCGGGAGTTTCGCTACAAAGTCAAATTATGTTTGAACAGTGGTCAACTACTATTCATGCTGTTACTTCTGAAGTTGACTCCTACCCTCAAGTTGACGCTCAAGGACTGGGTCCTCGAGATCTGATATTCCATCATCCTGCCCAACATCCCATTACTTATAGACCAACTCCATTACGTATTTCTTACTCTGATATTGACGAAAGATGGCACACTCATGGAGAAAAGAGTCGCCAATGTAGTTGTGATCGTATCCTAGTTAGAGATGATCATATATCCGTCGGAGATTTTATCTATATCTTTGATCCTAAGGCCATTAAACATCAATTTTTCAGTAAACCCAAGATAGTTGCCTCGATCTCTGGTAACTCTATTACAACTGAAGATGGGACGTTGCTCCTGGTCGATCTCATAATTAGCCCAACAACGTCTTTTGAGTGATGGTATTGACGATGGCAATGGTAAAAAGAGCGTAAAAAACCTTGTTCGACTGCATCTAGAGCATGCGTGCTATAGCTAATGCTAAGAACTGGGCCAGTGGTCCAAAAGTATGCGTGATAGGGTCCAAATGTATGCGCTGGACCTGGGGGGAGGCATGGCGATGGTAACGCGGGCCTTCGGCCCGCTCTTGGTCCGTGAGATCTCCCAGCACAGTTCCAGAAGACAAGACCGGCAATCATGCTTTGTGTTCGCCCTCGAACGATTTTTCTTAGTCTAGCGCAGCTGTGGAGAGAGCACATCGAAAAGATTGTCGGGACACGAGTTCGAACTTCCCTGCTCGTCCACATTGCGCTAGCGGGGATTCCCCGTATACTACAACTCCCAATTTGCGGAGAGCAATCGATACGATAGCATGTCAAGAATCCTAGAATCTGTGCACTCTGCAAATGCTCGCACGTGTACATGTGTGCCGTTGGCAAAAGGGTCCCAGTGGAGGCACTCACTGGTCCCGGTGGAGGCACTCGATGAAAAAGATTGTTTTAAAAGGAAACGCGGGGCCTACGGCCCGCATAGTCCCAATAACGTCTTATGGCCCCTCCCGCAGTTCAAATAGACTCGTGCAAGTCAGCACTTGAACCACTTTGCGCATCATTTATTATTGAAAAATGACCGGTGCCGGGTTCGAACCAGAGACCTCATCCACTGAGGTCCTTGAGGGAGAGAGGATGGATGGTAACCACAAAATCTGTGCCTTGCGGTTACAAGTTGTAAC